CTTTTCGCAACTTGGGACACTCCCAAAAGCTTTGGCCTCAGTCTTCGACTACTTTCAGAAGCAGGTTCGACTTGATCATGCGGCAGCTGGATACGGCAGTTCTGCCATTCGACCGGACAAGAAAGTTGGATCTTGGTTCGCTGCGAGCTGGAGGTGCAACATGGCTGTTGTCTACTACAGAAGACGCTGAATTGGTGAGGAGACGTGGGAGATGGTTAAACCATCGCACGATGGAAATCTATATCCAAGAAGTATCCTCCTTGCAGTTTATTCACCGACTTCCGAAACAGACCCAGGCAAAGCTGTACTCTCTGGTTGAGGCCTTTGACTCCATTCTTTCGCTTGCTGAACATTTGACCTTGCTTCGAACGCCAACGACTGCTTGGTATGCTCAGTTTTCCGTGGGCCAGTCCGCTTAAGCAAATGGTGGGAACTGTGGGTGGAGGAAACTCTTTGTGCTCACGCACCGGGAACCTCGCTCACGCAGTTGCAAAAAGGGAAGGCGCGAGTGATGCTGAGCACCTGTGCCATAGGTGCGATGGTGAACGTGGCCTTGCTCAAGCTTGCCCTCCCTCCTCGCCCTGACGTCCCACGGAAACTCTTTGTGCTCACGCACCGGGAACCTGGCTCACGCAGTTGCAAAAAGGGAAGGCGCGAGTGATGCTGTGCACCTGACGTTTATGTCCCGCAGAGGGGCCTGCACGGCGCAGCAGCTTTCGATCTTCACAAGTGCGCTTCATGGCGATGTGAACTCTGCATCAGCCGCGGAGGGCTCGCAGTCCTGTGCCATATGCAGCACGCCACGAACTGGAGCGCAGAGTGAGGACTAAGGGCTCCGGTTCGTGCCCCTTATCGCTGAAGCCCTTGAAGGCAGCCATGGCCACCTTGGGCACCCTGAAGTCCCTCATCTCTGTCCTAAGCTTGAGCGTACCAGCATAGTCGTCGGCCAACCTCAAAGACTCAGTGTCTCGCTGCAGCGCGGGAATGCCCGCACAGTCTCCGGCGACAGCCACTGAAGCTGCTGCCCTTCCTTGCTGCGCAACTTTCCTGCCCCCTTCTCTGTTTCAATGCCTTATTGGGTCGGTTGCTGGTAGTTACGGGCTCCTTTCCAGTTTCTCCGACCTGTATAGATTAAGGCTTGTGATGGCTTACCCTCACACTTGAAAACTACACATTCAGCTTTTCCAGCTTGGCAACTGGTGGCTGCAAAGAGCCGTCAAACGGAGGCACGTCGCCGACGAGAGGCCGAACTTCGCCGCGCCGGGTTCCTACTGCCACATATCATGAGGGAAATTAAATGAAGGGACGTGCCGAGGGACGTGTGTGGTGGATCTAAGGCCAGGAAAAAGGAACAGATGGCCAGGCCAACCCGCTATGCCCTGCTGCCCAGCTTGGTTCCTGCGAACGACTCAATGGCCAGGGACCCGAAGCGTAAGGTTGCTCTCAAAATTGAGAACAAGAGGCGTTTTTCTGGACACGAGGACTGCGGGCTCCTGTCTGAGATGCAGCTAGTTGCAGCTAGTTTGTAGCATGGGACTTGCGTAGGAGGATGAGCCTGACGCAAAGAAAGAAAAGGATTCGATACCACTTCGAAAGTACGAGGCGGGATGCAGCAAGTTGATGAAAGTTGAACAAAGAGCTACTTGTAAAGACTGGCGACAGACTGGCCACCACGCAGGTGTACGGCGAAAGTGGTTCGGAGAAGGTGACATTGAATAATCTCCGGTGCTTTCAAAGCCATGGCGTAATCACAAGTTGAGACGTATTGTGATGGTGCGGAGGTGAACATCGTTGACATCCTGTGCCTTGGAAGCATGATATGAGTTGGTCCTGGCTGTTTACTTCGCAGAAGCTGAGGAAGATCCAGAGCCAGTGTGAAATGCTGAATGAAAGCGGTGGTGCTTCGCTCTCAGGGTAAAGGCTTTCTGGGTTGCCTGAGCGCCTTGAATTCCATGCTTGCCTGAGGTTGACCGAATGCGTGGATCTCGGTGATCGGATATAGCAGGGCAAGGCAAGAAGTGACTTCCTGAGGCTGGACGCTAGGCAAAACAGCGAGAAGCTGCGGCGGGCCCTCACCTTTACGGATCCTGGTGACAGAAATTCCGAGACATCGCTGCACCTTGATGACAAACAGGGGCACACCGTGAAGGTAGGTCCAAGATTCTGGAATTCAGACTGCAAGTGCAGATTTTAGTACTGTCTAGGCGGGGTGCCCAAGGTTTCCAAGCGACATTTCACCTGATCTCCCTAGAGATGAGCGTGCCAAGCAGCTCCGCAAGGCTGAGCGGATACATTTGCTACGTTCTGTCTCTAGCAGCTCTAGCATCCCAAAGGCTTGTTCATGCTTGTTCAATTGTTCGCTGCAGCCGTGTCTCTCGACAGCGCATGGTACAGCTGAAGTTGTGTACCCGCAATGCAATTATTCGGAGCAAGAGTCCGAAGAAGACTGGTACGATGCCATTCTTCGACGACTGACAGGCTTTCTGTGCTGTGCTTCTTGGGGACTACTCGCACTGAAGGCCCTCCATTCCCTGCCCGCGTGGGTAGTAGAGTGGCATCCTTTTGTACATCACTTCTTAAAAAGCAGGGGCATGCGGCAAAGGTGGTTGATCCACTGGTCTTGGACCTGCCTTTGCTGCGGAAGCCGGAGTTTGCATACAAGCATGGAGAAGCGCCAAAGCAATTGTCCGAGTTGGCTGATGAAATCCGTGCTGCAGATGCCTTCGTAATGATCAGCCCTGAGTACAACCATGCCGCATCACCTGCTTTGCTGAACACGCTGAACCACTTCGGAAGTAGCATCTTTTCTTACAAGCCCTCTGCAATATGTACGTATAGTCAAGGCCAGTGGGGTGGTGCGCGTGCTGCAGTTACACTACGGCCCATATTGTCGGAGCTGGGATGCCTGCCTGTGTCTGCAATGATTCATGTCCCAGCGGCTCACACAGTCTTTGATGAAGGCGGGCATTTGGTTAACGAGGAGACTGATTGGGAGCAGTACTTCATGCGAACCTTCAGTCAGATGGAGTGGTGGGCTCTGGCTGCGAAGCGTCACAAGCTGGTGAAAGATCCTTTCAAGTTGTCCCCTGCGCTTACTAACAAGCCTTCGCAGCGCAATGCTCCGAAGTGATGCACACTTGTTCTAGCCTGGAAAGTTGCTTTCTCAGGCAAGTCTCGGTGCGAAAAAGTCCCAGCAGCATGAGTGGATCACACAGGGTGCTGTGCGCATGCTTAATCGGACAACTGTGGTGCTAGGACAAGTACTTGAATCAATTGATCGAGAAGATGAGTACTTTGAGGCCTTCCGTTGAAAGCTTGGCTTAGGAAACTCGTCTAAGACCACGTAAAGAACATGCTGGCAGGAGCGAATGGAAATACATGCTTCCGTTTGACCTCGACCTTGCCAGCTCGGGCTTCGTTGATGCGCATGGTCAAAGGTGGGAGGGAAGCAGTGCAAGGGTGACCACTGTGCAAACAGGCGGTTTTGCAAGTTCTATGAAAGCACTTCAGGATATCCGTGTCGAATTTGATCGCTCGCAACCCCCGAGCTGCGCAGAAGTTCCTGAAGGACTTTCTTCAATTAGGAGATGTTGGAGAGCTCGCGTCCTTACAGTCCTGCATATTATGTTGAAAGTTTTAAGCTGTTCGACGAAGAATCCTGGAACCGGATTGCTGAAATGTTTCCGAGAGGAGCTCTCAAGCCTCATTGGCCAGAGGATACAGGCAGCTGCGCCGCATGAAGACACATCAACAGCCTGCAAAGTTGCAAGCTGTGGTGATCAGCTCGAGGAAGCTGATATTGACAGGCCTATGGAGGTCGGCGGGGTGGCATTGTCGGCGGATACACGTTGCTGGAAACTCTGGGCTCGAAGGACTGCTTTTCGGAGGTGGATCATGCATGCAAGCCTGCATGTGAGCTTTAGCATTGCTGTAGAAGTCGTTAGAAGCCATGATGCCATCAAGTGCCGTATGGAAGGCAGGGGCAGGATTTAGATGGAAGGCAAGCATGTATGTCACTTCCTCGGCTTTTCATAGAAAGCTCAAGCACGTTCTATTGCGACTTGGAGCAGCAATCCCAAGCCACCAAGTGAACGATGCTCAGCAGTTTCAGTCACCCATAGTGAATGTCAAGCGCGAGAGAGTCGTGCAATCCCTATTCAGCTTGGCTTCCTTGAGACTTTCTGAGAGAAATAAAACGTGAAGTACCGTCTGCAGGATCCAGTGTCATGCCCCCAGCCGGATGCTGCTGCAGCACTACAGTGTTTTGGCAAATTCCAAGCCATGTTCCGACCCAGATCCTCGAAAGATTTGCCCGGCCCGGTGGAGCGTCAAATGAGCAAGAAAAAGAGCCAGGCATCCGAAGGGTTGCAAGATGTTGCACGATTCATCAGGGTAAGAGGTGTTTTGATTGCTCGGAAACAGTCTTTTCCCTGACCTTCAGAAAGACCTCCAGCGGAGCGACACAGTCCGCGCCATCTCCAGGAAGCACGTGTCTCAGAGCTCCCTACAAAGTGCAAGTGGCAGAAGTGGCAGACATGAAGCTCACGTGCTCAGGCGATGGTCAGTCATCAAGGTGCAGGGCTGGGTAGAACCATCAGCCAAGTCCTCTAAAAACATCAGTGTTCACTATGCAGGCAGCGACGCAGTGGCTTCTAATTTGGTTTCGTTTTCGGCGACTACATATGCGTGAATCTTGGGTCCAAAAAAGACTGACTTTTCAGCAAAAGATGTAGTGACCTCCGTGCATGTGAGTTCCCGTTGCGCCCAAGGTCTGCAGACGTCTGTGTTATGGTCACTTGCCTGCAAATGAAATTGTGGCTGTGTAGCTTCATTATGATCCGGCAGGTCTTGAGACAGATGGGCGAGTGGTCGAGAATTAGGAGCTGGACAAAAGTCTTGTTTGTCAGATGGTTTTTGCGTGTCTTTGTCACAGGAGTGCCATGAAAGGCTTCGTCGACAACGTCACCCTTCTTCAGCGATGGTGCAAACGATTCCTTACCGTGAAAAGGCAGCCCCAAAAGCAAACAAAATGGACTATTCTAGCACTCTGTCATCATTCCAACAGTGCTACATGATGCTGCAGCTGTTTGTTGAGTGGTCTGGTGTGTGCCGTGACTAGAAAATCCTCTGCAGCTGGGGTAATATTCCAAAGTCTGTGAGGCGGCGCTGCGGCCTTTGTGAAAAGGAGTGGGAGAGGCCTGAGTAGTTTTTGGCTCGCTGCAATTGAGACGGCACATGATTCTGGCCCTTGCGAACTGTCAGGGTTGAAGACTTCCACTTGTCACACTTCTTCCGCAACAAAGCACAAGCCATTATTCAGGATGGCCGTTGTCAGCTTGGGTTGACTTGCTTTGCTACCTGTAGGGGGTGGCATGCAAGACATGCAAGCCCAGCACAGGAGCAGAAGGAGCTGGCGGCAGCCGAAGCCATGGGCGGCCAAGGCAAGAGGCAGGCGGAGAGTCCGTAAAATGGCGATGAAGTCCGAAACCCATCACAAGTTTTTTTGATTCACCTCATGAAATTTAAAGGTCTGGAAATCCTGCATGCGTGGGCGGGGAACGATCATATCCCAAGGCCCCAAGATCAAGTCGGGGGGTGCTCAGGTGCCGCGAGGGTTGGATCAGGTCCGTAGGGAGTGAAGATCAGTTGACAACCTCTGTTGTGCAGTCCGACTGGTAACCTGCCGATTAAGTAAGATCTGATTCATGAGCCATGTATCCAGCATGTTTACCCTACCTGATCCGATGCTGAGACCCGCTGGGTTAGCAATCTGTACTCCAAGGTGCAAATCTGCAACTGCACTCCCCCAAACAGCAGCCACATACCGTATGCTCTGCCCAATCAGCAAACAAAACCAACTGCATGCGTAGCTAGAAACATGCTGACTGAGGCATCAAAACCTTAAGTAGGGACAGGCTACGCAGCCACAAGGGCAATCTCAAATAAAGACAAAGGGACAAAGGTTTACATCGCCTCCTTTTGCCCGCGATTGACAGAGCGCAAGGTGAAGTGCAGACATATGGTCACTCCCCCGCCGCTTGATAGCTTCTCATTGACCAGTCACGAGGAGTCAGCCAGATAGAGGGCTTGCTAAATCACTTCCTGCTTTGCCATTGAATGAATGATCATACTGGAAGCTGAGGTAGAGACGTGTGCTAACTTCGCCCCCTCTTGCTCTTGCCGTTGAATGTCAAGGATGACGGTGGGGATTTGACAGAGACTTGTGCAGAAATTGCTCTCTCTCTCTCTCTCTGGCTCTCTGTTCATTTGCTTTGGGCTGTATTGAATAATAGTCATACTAGGAAACTCAGAACCATGTGTCAAAATCTCTGCCCCGTTGCCCTGGGGTTGCATACCCTCCCGAATGACACTGGTGGTTGGGGCCGGGGAACACAAGGGCAGGCTCAGATAGAGACGCATGTTAAATTTGCCCCTTCATGCTTTTGCAGATGAACTGGCGCAAACTGGGTAGAGACATATGATAAGCTCTACCCCCGTTTTCCTGGCGCTTGAGTGAAAATCACGAGAAGAAAGCTCAGAGATTTGCCTTTTATTACGCAAGGCTATGGATGGTTGATCTGTTGGAGTTTACTGATTCGTGTCTTTGAATTATTGATCCAGATCCCGATTCAAACCCTACCCCACATGCCCAACGATGCATGTTCGCTTTGTGATGAATGCCAAAATCTACGCCGCCGAGATCATTCGCAACCATTTGTTGATGACGAACTGCGGAGTCTGTGGGCGCAACTCTCTGTACGACGATAATGAGTTTACACGCCTCTGTGTCTTTACAAAGTTTAAATTATTCAGGTTCAGGGCTATGCGTGTTTAAAAACAAAGCCAAGGGCGCACCTATGGCACGGAGCCGATGATTAGTATCATTGAACGCGCAGATAACGCCCTAGAGGTTTGGCCATGCGTCATCGGGTAGCTGATGTTCCTGTCACTGTCACAACCCTGCTGTTGTCACTGCTCGGTGGAGAACCTGTGAGCGCAGAAAACAGAAACCACTCCTGCTGGCAGGATTCCAGAATGACCTAGCATGAATGAAGATTTGTGGTATCGATTCTTTTGTTCAGGAGATCTTACACACACCTGGATCTTGGACAATGCAGTGCGCGGTGCGCTGCAAGGATTTACAGCTGTTGCGAATTTGGTCATCAGTATCACTACCAGTAACCCCTGCTCGATCCGATCTTACTCCCCCCGTTCTCAGCCGCCGCCATGACCCCCCCGACCCCCCATCTGATTTAGGCCATGCTTGCCATCCTGATCTAGCACCACCCCGTTCTGATCTTCTGATCTGAACACTGTGATCCGGTTGCCTGCCCCTACATCAAGTCCTTGGGGCTGCTGACATGATCTCCACACAGCCATGTACAATCCTGAAACATCTTGTGCAGCAGCCGTGGCAGCAGGCAGTACAAGGGTCTCCAGTCCGGAAAAGCGAAGAGAGATAAGCAGGCAAAGCTGTGTTTGCCCCACATGCATTCAGCATGATGCGTTGCGCCAGACCTGTCTCACATGTGCGAAGATGTGTGAAGGCCTTTCTTAATTTGCTCGAAGCAGGAGTTGAAGGAGGTGCCGTTGCCATTTGCAAGGCGACTGCAGGTCGGCCAGTCGTGATCCCCGACAGGTGAAATTTCTATTGACTTCCGAGCTTACAAGATCCCAGCAGCAGAGAGGCGATGTGAACTCCCAACCCGTAGTAGCCTATTCGACAGCCATGCACAACAAGATCAGAAGCGAGGCGGGCTATCATCAATCGCTGGTACATGGTGACTTTAAGGCCCGCAACGCGCAAGCTGACCATTTGCTTTTGCAAGGGACTTGCAGCCCAAATGCACAGGAACCATGTGCGTTCGGAGCAGACGATAGCCCTAGGCTTGGCTTGGCTTGGCATGGCTTGGCTATGAGTGGCTGATCTATCTGATGTTTTACCTTTTTTCCTGTGGAGCTGCACTTGCTGGAGACGTTTTGTGCCAAGGCGTTGACCATCAAGGAGATGCTGGCAGCAGAACGTGCAAGGTACTGAGCTGGTCGCATCGTTGTGGCGTGAGACAGGCAAATCACCACCATGCTGCCGTGCTGCGCTACACAACTTGAGGAATTGGAGCGCTTCGTGAACACGTGCTTTGGACAGGGAATGGTCATGGTATGTAGACTTGAATTATGGAGACTAGAAGCAGCTGCCATCCCGGAGCACGGTCGTGACACTACCTTTGCCTGTAGCAGGATGCCTGCTCATTTGCCTAAGGTTTGGATGCAGGACCGTTGTTCAAGTCTCGCCTACGGGGGAAGAGGCCTGTGCTTTCTTGCAAGCCTTTCTGGACATGACTTCTGCGTTCCACGCTTGAGCCCTGTCTTGCAGGTAGATGACAAAGGGCGGAAAGTGAAGAAAGGGCAGCTGAGCGACGACGACATGTGGCAGCTGCGTGCCTTGGCTCAGCCAAATGTATGCTTGAACTTGGCCTTGGCGCCAGATTCAGCCAATGTGCATGGGCAGGTATTGGTGCCAAACTGAAGCACGAATGGTACCGGGTCACGGAGGACTACCGCATTTTCGTGCAGGGCAGAAAGTTTGAAGAATTTTGCGTTCATGGGCTGCAATCCTGCTTGCCAAACGGAACTTCGAACATGTTCCAGCTGCCAGAAAAAGGCCAGTGGATGTGTCCACGGTTGCCCTCGTGTCAGGGAGGTCTGTCGTTGGAGTGAGTTGTTGCAAGTATATTGCATCATGCCAGCAGGAGTTTGTCATCAGGTGTATAGCGGTGGCCGCTCAGGCCCAGCTCGTCCTGCAAAGGTGGATGGAAACACGGACATGCCTTGCTCCAAGGGCTGATCTGCAGGCGATGTCCCACGTCCCGCCGTACCACGACCACCCAGCCAATCGAGTGCTAGACTGAGTGATTGGTAGCAGGCTGTGTGTTGAAGATTGACGACGCGGTGTGTTCATGCAAGGGAAAGTTTCAACTCAAAGCCTTTGGCCACAAGTGCTTCGGGCCGTAGGAGTCCTCAATCTGGAACGCCCGTGCAGCTGAACTCATGGGTGAAGATGTTTGGGGGCCACCAGGTCAGCAATCTTGGGTTACCATGGATGACGGCTGCGAAATCTTGGTTCGCAAGTGGGCACCTGAATCAGGTCAGGCGCTGGCAGTGCTTCATATTTGCCATGGAATGGCCGAACACTCTGCGCGTTATGCTGGCCTAGCGCTTCGACTTGTAGCTGAAGGATTCATTGTCCAGGCCGCAGACAGCCGAGCCCATGGTCAGACTGCTCTCAAGGCTGAGCAGATGGGTGTCAAAGGCCATCGAATTGGCCATGTGGATGTGAAGGATGGGAAGGTGCTGCCAAGAATTGCGCAGGACCACGCCTTTCTTTGCGGACGTGCCATTCAAGAGCATGGATTGCCATTGATTGTCTTAGGCCACTCCTTGGGCAGTGTGATTGCCACACTTGTTGTAGCAAACATGGACCAGGCACCAGCTGCCATGATTCTCAGTGCTGCACCTGCCAGACTTCCCGGACCGATGCGGGTAGTCTTGGGGCGGGTGCTGCCCATCCTTGACAAATTGTACGGCACAGATGGCGTAGCGCCGTTGATTAACACGTTGACTTTTGACAAGTTCAACAAGCAGTTTGCGCCAAACGTGACCGATAATGATTGGCTCAATCGGGACCCAGCAGAAGTGCAGAAGTACGAGAACGACCCGCTGTGTGGTTTCAAGCTGAGTGTTGGATTTTGGAGTTCGATTTTCGAGACGGTCCAGCGGGTCGGCAGCAAAGAGATCTTGATGAGGCTTCCAAAGTGCCCTGTGCTTTCGATTCAGGGAGGCAACGATGCTTGCACCGTCAATGACCTGGGCGTTAACTCGTCCCAGCAGCTAGCATCAGAGTTCCGAGCAGTTGGGCTCGAGGTTCACAAGCGCATCTCTTATGGAAATGGCCGCCATGAGATCTTTCTCGAGACATGTAGAGACGAGGTCGTGCAAGACTTGCTGGACTTCGCTCGCAAAGTCCTTTCATCATCCATACGAAGCAAGCTCTGAAGCGTGTTCGAATCTAGCAGACTGTAGAGAAAAAGCTGAGCACTTCCGGCTGGAGATTAGTGAGGGCTGCGTCCTGTCACAATGCTTGTGTTTTGGTGTCATTCATCTGCCAACTTGCTGCAGCTCCTTTGCAAAACATGCTTTGCAACAATCGCGCTCTAGCCATACATGTTTTCTCGGCTGAGGGCCTCACTACCAGACCCGTGGTGGTGCCATACAATAGCGAGGCCGGAGAAGTGGCTTCATCTCGGTAAATGCGTGACATGGGCTGAGAGCCAAGCTTTAGACTGTCATCTGATTTAAGTCTGGACATCTGCAAAGCCCTCGCAGGGGGACAGGAGGATCTTTGCCACTGCAGTGCGGTCCTCGTTTGTGCGAATGTCTGGCTTGTGTTCACCAAAACTATTTTGATGTTTAAGTACAGTGCGCAGTAAAAACAATTCTCAGCCCCAACTTGTCACGTTTTGATGGATAGTCAGCAAAGCCACAAGGCAATATACAAGACGTTTTCGCCAAGAGATTGCCCCATACTCCGACATGGGCTTAAAGGCTTTGGAGATGTTGTCAGCGGATTTGGGGGGTAAAGAAAGAGTGGCTGGGAGAAGCATGAATCTCCGACAACAATGCGCCTTCTGCTGGTCTGGAGCCTGTCTCCTGTGTGCATCACAGCTGTCAACCGTTGGGTGCATAGTTGTGGTGCAATACGGTGAACAAGACAGGATTCCAGCTCAGGCCTTTGTTCTCACATGTTTGCGTGACAACTGACAACTGAAACCTTGAAATTTCTCCTGGTCGTCGTGTTGCCGTCCCTCTGGCAACCAAGATGAGAATGAAGGATGGAGACTATGAGTAGGAGTAGGAGCATGAGGAGGATAGCTGTAGCCGTGCCTGCTGCCTTGGTGGTGGTAGTCACGCTGTGCCATTTGCATCCGACAGCTTAGCAGCACTTCCCTGGACCGCGTTGCGCAGGTTGTGCGTGCTGCTGCCCGTCCTTGTGACCTTGGGCGCTTGGGAAACAAGTCATTGCAGGTCCGCGCCAGGAGCTGAGATGTCATGTGAGCACACTTTCCTGGGTCCCGCAGAATCAACGGCTTGGGTTGTCTTGTGCAATTCGCAACGAGTGATGTGGTGCTCGAATCTTACTTCACTGAAACGTGTACCTTTATTCAGATCATGCATTCTATACTCTCTTGGCCTGGCTTCCAGAATCCAGGCATTGTGCACAACATTTGACAGCTCAGGGGTATGCGGGAAATAATTTTCCCACAGTTCTCTGTCTGATGTGGTTTGTGGCTGCAGAACAAGGTGTTTGCTGCGGGGGTCTCACTTTACTTGATTTCAAGCTTCAGGTAAGATTCGTGTGTGAGAGAAAGTTCTGCGCGCTCATATCCACAAACCACGAGCCAGAGCTATGGATATCAATTGTCCTGCTGCACGAATGGGATATGAACATGCTTTTGCAGGGTTTGGTTTTCGCTGAGATGCATGATCTTTCTTGCTGGTAGGTTGGTAGGTAGGGCATGGTAAGGGAGCCGCACTGGAGTCCAAGCACTGATCAGACAAAGCCAACCGTGCTTGGAGAGCAGGTTTCACGCGACTATGCTCATTTATGCTCAATCTGCAGGATGAGTATCTCCACCCCTGACCATGTCCTCCAAGCCTGTGGTGTGTATCCTTCTCCAGGAGATGTAGGGTGTCATTTTCAAGGGTCCCGCAGAGCAATCTTCTATGCCAAGAGTGTCAGAAATGGCCCAATTTACATCCACGTTTAGTGAAATCTTACTGTGACGCTTCGATGCATGATCCCAGAACTTCTGACGGGGCATCAGCCAGTACCATCTTGGTCCTAATAGGAGCTTGTGATGTTATCCAGCTTCGCAAGGAAGCTTTTACCATACTGCAGCCGCTAGATGAGCGCTGACTCCAGTGAGTTCAGCTTTTCAACGGACTCATCAGAAGACTCCCTGGATGATGAGGATGAAGCAACTCCTGCGCAACGCTTTGCTGTGGATATTGTTGCGCTAACCCGTGAATGGGGTCATGCTGACTCAGACATCTCAGAAGACTCGTCTCCAGAATGCCAGGGCAGACACACGCGATACAGGAACATGGCCTTGGCTTTGGAGGCTGCTGAGAGGCGGTTGTCCACCAGAAGCCAACTTATTCTGACACCTGTGTGCTTTGAAAACCCCAGGGTACAGGCCTTTGCCAGCGTCATCATCTTCTTGACAACAAATGCACGGACCATGGTGAATGCAGCCGTTGTGGACCACTACATCAACAAATCAGGTGGGCAAAGGCAGTTTGCATTGTGTTGTCCTTACATGCATATACGCCCAACAGGGTGAACCATACTTAGGGGGTCCACGAAATCGATCTTCTGTCCGGTTCTTCAGAATCCTGGTGTTGGAGGCCCCAAAATGGATGGTGCGGGTTGCTTACTTGTACGAGTTCTGCATGCAATGCAAGCTTCCTACCTTCTTGGGGCCTTTCAAACACCTTCGAACAAAGCCAAGCCAAGGCAAACCCAAACCAATGCCCTGAACGGGCAGCTAAGCCAGCCAACCCATGGCAAAGCCCTCAACAACCTCACCTGCACGTAGGGGCTGCTCCATTTGACACCCCAAAAAGGTCTAGCACTATTCAAGTGCGCATGACGCATGTCCTTGTTGCTCGGAAATGATGTGATGATGCTTTTCTTCAAAGTTTCCTGCGCTGCCAGGTGTGGAAGCATTTGACAAGACCGCATGGAAGCTAGATACGCTTACAAAGGATTCCTGGTATTTTCTGTTCCTTGCCATGGATATGAGCTTCATGCTTTTTCAGATTGCTTGTGTGCGGCGCGACCGTCGCATGGCCCAGCTCTGCCAGCAGTTGTGGCAGGATGGGGCCTACATCAGATTGGTGGCTTTTCACATATACTCTATTGTTTTTCTTGGGGTCCTATCGGGTTGGCAGCTCGTGCGTGGATATCGGCAGCTAAGCAGCGAAGGGTATCGGGACAGCTTCTTGCTAGAGCTTGGTGATCCTTCGATGGCCGACAGTGGTGCATTCCGAATGCCGTTCTACAGCAGTCACCTTACATTTTTCTACGAGATGCCATTCATGCTGCGCATTTGTCACTTTATTTCTCGCGACGTTCTGTCAGCTTTCAACCTGATTGTTTGCGTGGCTGCTGGAGGCTCCTTTGCCTTGGTGCTCTTTGCGCTGCTGACTCTAGATTATGGTGTCTCCAGCAATCTGGTGAGCCAGTACCGTGGCTCGCGGCGGTTTTATACCAGCCTGGCACATGGATTCCTTCGTGCAACGGAGCTCCTCAGCCGAACCATGGTTGTGGCATCCACTATGTTAGCTACTCCCATCGGCATGTTTGGACGCTGGCTTTTCGCAGCGGCTCTGGCGGATTGGATGGCAGGTTTGCTCTTGCTGTCCTGGGCATCACGAGGTTGTTCCAAGAGGGCTTTGTTTCTGTCCATCCCGCTCTTTGGTGCCAACATTGCGCTGTTCACAGATTTGCCCAGCTTGGCCAGCCGAGCGCGGGTGCTCACGGTGTGTTTGGATATCCTGCGATCATTGGAACTGGGTCCCGCCGTGTGGTTCTTTTTGATAGAATACCACGCAATTAAATCTGGTGACCTAGATGGAAATTTCGCGTTTGATATGCGCATTTTGGGGAGCCTAGCTGAAGTCAGTATGTTGCTTTTCTTCTTGCTTTTGTATTGGAAGTTTTTGCGGTGGCAGCGGACGCAACAAAGTACTGACTAGGTGCCTGTCGGGAATGATATGTGCTTGGACCGTACACGTGCTCCTTCGCTGTCTCTTTGCGACTAGAGGCCTGCAAGAAGTGCCCAAGGATGCAACTGAGACTGGAAAGCTGGAACATGCTGGATCCTTTGATGACACAGTATTTGGATCGTCATTAGATGAAGCATACTTTTACCAATCGGAAGGCATTTCAAGCCTTGCCGGCTGGCTCTTCTCGAAAGGGATTGGCGATCAGTTTGCGTCTCTGCTGGAAATCTGTTGGGAGCGTCAGCCTTTGAGGCTTTCTCGTCTGGAAGCAGTTGCGAAGCTTGGCGAGGGTGGCTTCGGCCGAGTCTACAAGGTAAGAGATACAAGGAGAGGGCAGCATTATGCATTGAAGCTCCAAGGTAGGAGTCGAGTTGCGAGGGCAGCTGTCCAGGAAGCAAATGCACTCCACGAGGTCAAGCACCTTTGTGTTGTGGAGTTAGTGCAAGTCTTTTGCACGTCGTCCTTCTACTGTATCCTTCTGGAGCTTTGCGACGTCGATCTCAACAGGTACATGATAGACTGCCAGAACCCCTTCGGAGTTGCTGAGGGACTGCCAGCGGAAGATTCAAAAATGTTCTTGGGCTGCATATTTCTGGCTTTAGAACATTTACATGACAGAGACATCGTGTTCTGCGACCTCAAGCCTGAGAACATATTGATTCAAGCCGCGGGCTACAAGGGGGCACAGCTGAGGTTGGCAAAGCTGGCTGATTTCGGATTGGCAAAGTCCGTTGAAAAGTTGTCGCGTTCATCCATGTCGTTGTGCGGCCGTGTGTCTGGAACTCCGGCTTTCTTGCCCCCAGAGACGCCATACAACGCGGACCCGACATTTGACGTGCCTGACTCCGCTAGCCTATTGCCGCAGTTTGTTGGCCGGGACTGGTATGCCCTGGGCTGTGTCTTGTTCCTGATGCTTTTTGGGGAGGTTGGCGGCAAAAAAGTTCGGCATGCAGCACGAGCCATCCTGCTGCCACCGTCTGCTGAAGCCATTGCAGCCGCCATTTCGGATGCTACCACCTCTGGCACTCGCAACCGGGCAGCTCTCGAGCTCACCACGAGTCTCTTGGCCCCGTTGCCCCTACGAGGCAGTGGCCAGGATGTAAGGAATTGCTCTTTCTTGGCAGATGTACTGCCCTTGCTGGAGGAGATGGTTAGGGACTTTAGGACATCAAGGCAGTGAGAACTGCCTGCAGCACAGAGTCTGCGTGTTGGACGATAGGGCAAAAGCTCTTGCCTGAAACTGGCAGAGCTCGCGAGGCCAGAGGGCTTGTGCAAAGACACGGCCAGAAATGCATGATTGCATGGCTTGCAGACCTGCCCCCATGTTATAGCACATCTTCCAAAGTCTGAGATCTGCCAAGGCTTCGAAGGCTCGGCGACTGGACGAGGAGTCGATCACGACCAAGCCCAATGCCAAAGGAGCCTGATGTTGTGCTGGGCCTTCCGGTGATCATGCTGCTAGCCCTGCTAGCCGCAGAAGACGGAAGAAGCTCCTGCCTTGGCAGGAAACACTGAAACCAAGCAAAGGAGCAGCACACTGGGCGATGCAGGCGCATGCGCTCTGGGTGCCTGTCTGCGTGTTTCTCTCTGTCTTTCTCTCTCTCTCTCTCTCTCACTTCCTCTCCTGTCCATTCAAGCACAGCAAAAGCTTTGAGCCCGTGTGCGGTGTCTTCGCTGCCAGGCAGGCTGCCGACCTCCAGTCAAGATATTGAAGATGTCTTGAAACAGCTGACGCCTGGAGCTCAGAGACCCTTCTCTCCTGGTGCGTGTCCTGGTGTCAATTTCAAGGCCGCGACTGCGCCAAATCAGCGAGGCTCAAAACTTGGAGTACAGGCCCGACATGTAGCCACATCCTTTCGAGCGCCAGTTTGCAGAGGTGAGCTCAGCCGTAAGCTTGGTGGGCCACTGGTTGAGCATCACCCTGTCGCAGGTTGAGCAAATCCAAGGAAGACAAGGAGGAGAAGTTTGAGACTGAAGCATGAGACTAGATCCAGGTGTGATTGGCGGAAGTGTGAAAAGCCTCACCTTGATTAATTCAAACGCCTTATGGACCGTTCTCACACGGGCTGTCCGCATGAAATGGACAGCCCAATAAGAGTTTCCTATTCCATAGTGACCCATGGTGACAATTTGATTAACAATCTGGGGCGAGCCTGCAACATGTATTCTGGGCCAGTCCGTCCCTTGAAGGGCACGACCGGTCATGACAGCAAGATGAGATGGTGTGGAGTGAGGCATGTCTCTGGTATCACAGGGCTTTAGATAGGCCTGCATATGCAGTTGCCGGTTGCTACTGCAAGGGTTGCAGCGTTTCTCAGAAAAGTATCCAGACAGTGAGACTCAGTTCAATGTGACTCAACTGTCGACCAGCAACCTTTCGCTTTGCAAGACCTCTGGTCATGGCAGCAAAAGAGCTTTCCGACGCGCGATGCTTCGTGCTTGCTTACTGGTGGGTGCTTGGACAGCGGGGATTGCCGTTGAGCAATGCCCGTGCTGGTTTGTGCCAGCGCCGACCACGCCTGTTGCTGTAACTAGCTTTTCTACATCACACAAGGTGTAATCTGGCGCATCTTCAATGCCATGTGCCTACCGAACTAAATATCTTGTACTCGCGCTTGGCTGAGGAGGCTAAGAAGGCTGATGCTGGGACAAGACAATGTGCCCCTGCGCAGGCGAGTTACTGCGGCGAAGGCTGCAGAGACGAAGATGAAGCAATCCCTAAATCGGACCAACAGTGCCAGGCCCTCAGAAGTTGCCTGTGCTGGTGGTGCTAGAGAACCTGCCAAGAGCCTTTTTCGTTCCGCCATTGCAGCCCAAGGCGCCCACCTTGAAGAAGTCCAACACTGCTGTCTGGGCCTTAGGGCCTAAGTTCTTCGGTCGTGATTTATAGCGTGAAGAATTAAAATGCTAGATATGCATCTGCAGGAGGCCGGTTCCGGGAATGCGGAGGGCCTGGGTGAGAAGTCAACGTCGCTTGCCTCGGATCTGCTCGGTGGAGCCATGCGCCGGTATGACGGGCATGCTAGGCCACCTGAAATCAGTGTCGACGCTGGAAATGGCAATGCGACAACAGCGAAGCTGCTGCCCCAGCAAGCTAAAGAACGCTAATCGCCAAAACTAGATGCCAGCACCGCAGTGTTTTGAGAGCATGTTTTGTCATTGTGCTGAGTGCCCTAAATGCTCAACCACTGTCGAGCTGCGTGCTCTGACAAATGTGAGTGTGGGTGGGCAAGTCCTCGGTGATTCTTGGGACCTGCGTTCGTCAGGTCCTCCCCTGGAAGCTCGAAGTCACTGAAGGACTGAGTGCATGATCAAATTGAATTGCTTTGTCTCTGGCTTGCAAGCCTCGATCCGGGAAGGTGTAGCCTGGGGGAGGCATGCATTAGCGCCATGAAAGGCTGGCGCCGCTGCCGGACTTCAGTCAGCGCCCGAGACAGCTGTGCCAAACGAAAGCGGACAACAAGGATGCGGTCGGCGACGTGCATCTTGTAGAACGATGTAAACAGTGAATCTTGCAGTCAGTGAAGTTTTAAGCACTTGAGGTGACGACTGTGGTTGACAGGCCGCCTAGTGATAAGTGTCCAGCCATGGACTTCAGAGCTTGTTTGTCGTCAGGCTTGAAGTCTTGAAGCGTGCGCTGCGAGTGGCCGGGCTCCGAAGCGGTGTGTATTGTTCAGGCAGAAGACGCTTTGAAGCAAAGTGGTTCAGGACGCATTGGCAGAGTCTGGACCCGTTTGTCGGGAAGCAAAGTTCCTACCTTGAACACAGCTCGTGGAAGGCTTGTCATCACGTCCTGTCGAATTTGCCCGAAGTTGCTCAGGTCACTTCCTCAAAAACTTCCGCACCCTGCACTTGCGGATCCCTACATTGCAAAAGCTTCACCCCTATTGCTGCTTGCTGGCCAGGTAGGAACTTTCAGCCTTGTGTCCTGGTGGATGAACTGAGGTGTTTGACTGCCGCAGAAGCGGCATTGTCTCTCACTTGACATCGGGTGGACTTCTCAGTCTGATTGCAGCTAGCCCTGGTGCAAACTTGCTGGCGGAGACACAAGGCGGCCTCAAAGAGCACCGTCCTGTGAACACTGGTACAGCAGTGTACGGCGGAAAGCTGCAAGAGACATCGGCAGGGGTAATGCACTTGCTTCATGGTCTCTGCGCTTTTCTGACAGTGTTTGGTTTATACAAAGTTTTTGGCTGAGTTTCTTTCTCGAAGAGAAAGGGCTTTCAGATGAGCTTGGCATCGTGAGATGCGATTGCTCCACACCCTGGCTCGTGAGGAGTAGCTCTGAGAGTTTCTCAGGGTTGCAGATCAGTGTACAAGACATGACTACAAACTCCTACTTGTACATAAGCTGACTCGTATCTCTGCATTCGGAGCCAGTAAGCAGTCAGATAATGCCTGAAGAGCATTTCTGGGTTTCACCAGGCAGCCCTGAAGGCCTGAAAGCAAGCGCTGAAAAAGCCAGACCAGACAAGATGTCCCTTCTGTACCCAGTAAGACTTGAGCAGTCCCAGTAAAGGTACCCCCACGTTCTTCGGCGGTAGGACTGCAGAAGATGCTGCCCCCTTGTTTTGCTTGCTTCGCTTGCTGCGAGCAGTTGGGAACAGCTCATCCCGAAGTCACTAGCATATTGATCGTGGCCTGAGTGGCCTGAGATGCCAGAGCCTTCTGTCGGAACTGTCGCCACTTGAAAGCCAGATGCGAGAATCGATGTGGCTCGAGCACCAGCAGCCTGTTTGTGCCACCGGCACGAGGCCCTGCTGTGCATGCAGAGTGAATGAGGGACGTGAAATGATATTGAATTTTTTCTTGTGTCCTCTTGGTGGCCAGAGCTGCGGCTGGCTCAAAACGGGACTTTCAGGACCTGTTTGCGTTCCCAATGTAATGGCCGATGCTGGCACCTCGCGTTTCGCTGGCTGGTCTTGAACATAGGTGGGCGTTGCGTGCCGTGCCAACCGTGACGACTCGTCGCGCATGTGGCTGGAGCAACTTCGAGAAGCAAGCGAGGAAGCTGTCAAGATCTTACTGGCTTTGGAAGCCGGCAGTTGCAGGTGTTGCTAGTGGCCGGCTGGCTAGCATGACGGCAAGAGGTCTTCCAACCAAATTTTCAGAGAGGAAGCGACAACGAGAGGTCACATGGGTATGCAGCTGCAAGACCTGCGCTAAAGGAATTGAAGAGGGGTCCGCACGAGTTGAGGTGGCCGTTACACTGGGCAAAACTGTCCCGGAGGGTCCCATTAGCTGGTGTGATGGCGAGCCAATGGCCTTCCACCGAACTTGTTGGCAACAGTTGCTGACCCAGAGCGCCTTCACAGATTATGCTGTCATGGCAAGTTAGAGTTGTCTTTCAATGGGCTTTTTCCACCTAGCCGAGCCGTTTCCTTCTTGGACTATTGTTCTGGTTCCGTCAAAAATTGGCTGCTGAGGACGCAGTCTTTCGAAGGATGACCTACTGCTCCTGCAGACGGCGTCTGCCAGTGCTGAGCATTTTGATGCGGCAGCTGTTGCTCGGTGCCAAGTAAGGTGTTACAAGTGACCTCCAGCATCGGAAGACCACCAGTGCATTAAAATGTCAGGACATCGTTCTCCAGGCTCGGAGGGCTGCTGAAATTCTACGCAACAGTTCGTGCCTGGACTACAAAACCATGTCTTTGACAAGTCTTTGAGGTTAAGGCCCATGTGTGTAAAGCCGCAGTTGAGGAAAGCGATTTGCTTCACGGGAGCAGGGATCTCAACCGCTGCTGGATTGGGCGATTATCGAGGAAAACGGGGCAAGTGGACTTTGGAAGCTCAAGGCCCATGCTGCCCTTGATTTTGCGCAGATACTGTCCTGCGCCAATGCCTTCTTTCTGCCTACTTCTTCACTTGGTGTGCTTTACTCTTTGTCCCGTGCACGGCAAGCCGGGTAGTTGCGTGCAATAGGTAGGTGAGGCGGGGCAATCGAGCAATTGGGGCAAAAGTAACAAGTGGTGCTGCAATGGCTGCATCAGGACTTGTGGTAGACGTGTGGTAGCTGGACCCCGGGTGCTCAGCTACCCCCAACCCAAATTTTGCGTCAAGGAGCGACCAGCGCTCCCACGACAGAAGGATTTCTTGAGCCCCAAGGAACTAATAGCTGAAAGGTAGCTGTTTGGATTTTTTCGGGCCCTGGACTGTGTTCCACAGCATTGGCTAGGTAACCTGATGCCTTTTTTCCGGACTTGAAAGGGGTTGAAAAGTGCCACCCACAGGCATCGTCATTCTGTTTCCAGCCGCTTCAATTGGGAAATATCTCAGTGTTTGTAGAGTGCGCAGGCCACACGATCGCATTGGCTGACCATGTCTTAGTTCAATTGCTTGTTTCTGGTCAGGTGCAGAGGCTTCCTACACCACGGTGTACGAAGAGCTACGACCCACCTTTGCCCACGAGGCTGTGGCGAAGCTGGTGGAGATGGGAAAGACCTGTGGCTGATGTCAAGGTCGAACCCAGCTGGTACACGTAGTTGGACAAGCCAACGCCAGCGTAGCAAGAAGTCCATGCCCTCAACGATACAGGGTGTTTTTCAAGCCTTTGCTTCTGACAACTCTACAAAAACGGGATTCCCTTGCAGAACGCGCGAGACGAGAACAAGCACTTGTCTGCTCTGAATCTCACTTCGATGCATGCTCCGCGTGCGCCCCGCCACATCCGCCGGTCCTAAATGCACCTCTCAGAATACAGGGCCCAGAATCTGAGCAGTGTAGAATTGTTATGTTGGGTGCTCGCAGCAGGTACTATGGAGTCTGGTCCAAGTAGATTTTTGTCTCCTGCACGCATATGCTTGGAATCAGCCTGTGGAAATCCTTTCTTAGGCGCAAGTTGCGTAGGCTTGTTTCGAGTGAGCTTGGGTGATAGCCTTCTCTCCGGATTCAATGCAAAAGGTGTTCATCTCGTGCAAGTTTGCATAGGTACAAAGCCCACGCGTTCAAGCTTGTGCAGTCTTTTTTCGTGTAGGCTTCTGCCCATGACAAGCCCGGGGTACATGTCTGAAAAGGTCATGCGCGGCCTCGCCCAATCTTATTGTCGGTGCTCTTGCTACTGTTCCTAACTGTTTGTCAAGGATAGCTTATGTGGTGAGCCAGAATGCTGATGGACTTCACCATCTCAGTGGAATCCCATACAGCAAGCTCTCTGACGTGCATGGGTCCGCCTTCACTGAGTACTGCCCCAGCTGCGGCAAGCGCTATGTGCTTTGGGCTAAGTTTGCGGTCTGCTGGCCTTCTTGATATTGTGCCGCGCTGTCCATGTGGTGATGCCGCAGAGGCGGAAAACGTATGTGCCGGAAGACCGCGCCGAGGCATCTTACTTGACAAACGGTTTGGCAATGGAAGCGTGCTATGGTAGTCTCATGGAAGGACTTCTTTGCAGGCCGCATTCCGGGGCCTATTCCTTCGCATATCCGACGTTGCCCTGGATGTGGCAGCAATCATTGGACCGGTCGGAGCTGTGACAAATGCGGTGGGTGTTTGGGCTGCAAGCTTGAGGTCATCCTTTTGATTGTTGGTCATAGTCTTGTGACACTGACAGCACGGACACAAGGCCTCTGCATGATACGGTCATCAGCTTTGGAGATGGCTTGGAAGAGGGCCTCCTACGGCCGGCCTTCGAGCAACATGATTGAATTCCCGAGAGCACCCCATTGCAATTCATGTCATACTTTTTGGGTGAGACGTATAGTATAGTGTTGCTGTGGGGTCCGACGAGGCATGCCACTGTGGCGGATGCCTGCCTCAGATGCTTAGCCTTTTAATGAACACAGTCGCATTTTTTTGGGAAGTGCATCAGATCTCGCCGTTCCCCAAAGCCATGTCCACAGGCCTTGGCAGCACAATGAGCATCGGGCCATCCAATCAGGCCATGTGGCACATGGAGTGACGCCTTGCTTTTTGCCCAGGTGCCTGTTGTTCTCCATGTTGTGCATGAGGTGGTAGCCATCCAGAAAGGGCCTCTCATTGCGTGCGTGCGACAGGCTGCAGACCTGGGCTTAAACACCTCTTGAAGCACTCTGTTTAACACCTAGACATTCCAGACATTTTTGACCGTGGAACCACGGCTGATGCAGGACACTGACATGGATAGACTCTGTCAATCATCTGGAAACTTGACTGATTTCACTACTTACGGTTCGTGTTCCCAAGTCCTACTTCCCTCTGCCATACCCTTTCAAGGAGGTGTTCGAGTCTACGGGGATTGCGATGAGCTGGGCACCTATGCAGCCACACCTACATTGCTTGTGGGTGCCTGCATGACCCTACCTCGCGCGACTTTGCATAAGTGTGGGTGGGGCAATGTGCAAGCAACGACAAGGTTCATGTATCATGTCATGGCGGACCTGCTCGGAGAGGCTTTTGATGATTGGCAGGTGCGGGAGAGAGAGGTTGTTCTAATGCGGCGTTTGTTTGCATCATGTTTGTGAGAGAGGCCTCGCTGAGCCAAAAGAGTGCCATCTACGACTCGCAGCGGCCAACGATTGGAAAGAGGCGTGGCGATATTTTTGCAGCACGGCAGGAAAGAGATGATCTTTGTGGCCATTTGACTTGCGAACTCATGTCGCTGCCGCTCCTAGGTAGGTCCCATGCCTCTGCGTGTTGTGGACTCAAATTAGGTTAAGAAAGTCTGAGATTCGGAGCCGTCGGATGTCGTGCAGCAGATGAGCAAGCTCAGAGGAGAGAGGGACGTGTTGCTGATTCCAGTGTCTCCACTCTGACCGGAGCTGAGCCATCCGTTGTCAAAGGCTATGTGGGCCCAGAACTGGAACCCGACTCACCCCGTCCAGCCCAGCAATCCTGATGGCGGGGCGTGGTGAGCTCCATTGTTGTGTTTGTGTGGATGCCGGAAGCTATCAGAACCTCAGCCAGCCAGGAGCATTGCGAATCGCAGAGAAAAAAGCAATCGGCAGCTTCCTCCGACTTAAGCCCATCGGATTCATTTGGACTCCGTAACTTTCACAACAGAGGATAGCCGCTTCAGGAGGCATTGCTTGCTGCATGATTCTATTCCCTGTGACCAGGTGCAGTGCAAGAATTTGGCCTGCAAGGTGGCGGGAGAGGTCAAAGGTTCGTAATTAAGCTATTGGCAGATTTGCAAGGCCTACTACCAGCACAAGATGCTGCGACGGCTAGTGACTTTGCAGCAAAAAGCCCAAAGCTCAGCTATTTCTGCGGTGTACGTCACTTTGCTAGAATCTTGCTGAAGTTCTTGATGCCGTGTTCGCAGCCAACATCTACTCTCAAAAAGGGCGCAGGCAAGCGCTGATTCCGCACCGCAGTGCACGAAGCTCGACAGCAAAAGTCAACATTTAGGAGCACAATTTTGCCGCCATATTCTGGTTTTTGTATTTGTGATGCTATACGAGGTGCAGACGTGCAGACATGGCCCCATCGGTGGTTGTGGGATGTCTTTGGTTTGTTATGATTGCCTTCATGTTCTTCGCGCAGCATCATGTGTGTGATGCGTACTTCGTGCCTGCGATCAACGTATTTGTCGGCAAGATGAAGCGCAGTGACAACAAGTGGCTACAGCGATGGGGTGAGGAGGCAGTGGCTGGAGCCACGATCTGCGCCCTCGGATGCAATGGTCCTGAAATGTTTACCAACTTGATTTCACTTTACACCGGTTCTGATGCGGGAATTGGTGTTGTGGTCGGTTCAGAGATCTTCAATCTTCTCATCATTGTGGGCTTGACAATATCAGCAGCACCAGTTGTGCCGCTTGCATTGGAGCGGGTCCCCTTTGCTCGCGACTGCCTCTTCTATGCGTTGTCCATCGTCTTGCTTTACTGGGCGCTCCTTGACCACAAGATTGAGTCGTACGAGTCATGGGTGCTGCTCGCAGCAGCCGGCGTCTATGTCGCTTGCGTGTACTTCACAGATGATTTGATTCAATGTATCCCGGCTCTTAAGCCTGCGCCGAAGGTGGAGGACTTGGAATCTCCATCCAAAAAGATGGGCAAGATGCATGGCGTTGATGTTGCTGTGGAAGAGATCTTGCACGGTCGTATGGTTGATGCTCATGCGCCTGCTGTTGAAAAATGGAACCTGGAAGCCACGGAGCATGGAATCTACGCAGAGCAGAAGAACAAGCCCACAGAGCCAGAGCAGAAGTCCGGGAGGGCCTCCATCGGTTTCACGTTCGAAGGCGGAGATGCCATGTTGGGGTCCGTGCTTAAGTACAAGGACTTGAAAGAAGTGGTTCTCATGGACATGGGCGTGATCAATTTGGAGTTCATCCACAACCTGCAGCACATCACCTTGAAGTTGACAGTGGAAGATGCGGCCAAGCGCACAGAGCTTCTGAATAACATTCAGGCGCATTCGCTTGGCAGGCCTTGGGTCCATGGCTATGATGCAACAATTATAGGTGCTTGGCAGCATCTTCGCCACAGCATGATGTCGAAGGATCCTCTCTTTGATAAACTCCTGGCAATCCCTCATTTCATCATTGATGCCATTCTGAAGCTCACGCTCTTCGCTGTGGATGTGAAGGACGTGTCCAAGGAAGGCCGCTGGCCTTTATGCTTTGTGGGAGCGATGTTCTGGTTAGCCATCTTCTCCTTCTTAATGCTGGAAATTGCCAATGAGATCCACTATAACATCCCTGCGCTGCCAAACAGTTTCCTTGGGATAACTGTTTGTGCCATTGGTACATCATTCCCCAATGCTGTGGCCTCTGTTCTGATGGCGCAGCAGAACAAGCCAGCAGCGGCGATCGCCAATGCCCTGGGCTCAAACGTTCAGAATGTCTTCCTTGCAATGGCATTGCCTTGGGTCATCTTCCAGTTGCAGTACGGGGGGAAGCCCATTGATCAAAATGTCGCAGGCATCAACGAGGGAGTTCTATGGATGAGTGGCACCTTGATCTTGGTGGTGGTCTTTGTTCTCATGCCGCCTTTTTGCAAACTCTCATATGCATACGGTCCGATCCTTGTCCTGGTATACCTGGCTTACTTAGTGGTGACAAGCGGGGAGACTTTCCACTGGTGGCCTCCGCTTGTGAAGTGAGAGCCGCTGAATTTGACCAGTACCATAGCTGTGATGGCCGTCAACACCACTTGTATGGCCTGAGCCTGAAGATGTACGCCAGCGGATAGTCAAATAGTCGGATAGCCAATGCTGTTTTATGGTATCCAATTTGTTGTGCTGGCAGCTGGTGGATTGATTGATCGTTTGAACTTGTGGACGGTTTCAACAGAGCACGCAGCAACCAACGAAAACGTGTGGTGCAGTGAAAAGTTGCTTGAACCATGCTGATGTTTCATGACTGCTCGCCCTGACCGAAATGCAGTTTCGTGATGCATGCGCCCGAAGCCCTGAAGACCGCCAGAGATGCGGCCGCAGCTTCTGCCAAGGTTCTGGCCATCCCTGCCTGGGGCCATGATCAACTGTACAGTTTTTGCAGTGAGGCCGTTGCCAGATTGTAGTTGAGCTGCTTCATTGTCGCGTTTCGAGGTGGTCCTTCCCACAGGTATCTCCATGGCGTTGCATTCTTCTCATTGTGTTCGATGTTCTTGGTTGCCACAAGAAGATGCCGGAAGCATTCGAGGCTGGGTCGAGATACGTTTGTATTTGAAATACATGAGCATGGGCTGCGACCTGCAGTTATTGTGAAGATGGCAAAAGTTGCACACGCTGCCAGTAGAGTGAGAGACAGAGAGAGAGAGCCGCGCTTCCGGAATCATGGGCCTTTGCGATGCGAAGTACCTGCCATATGATTCTCCAGGAGGTAACACCTTTTCGGTGAGCGCGAATCAGCTGAGTGTTGCTGTCTGCCAGTGCTGTAGCGGGAGCGGTTAGTCTACTGTTGGTTGAGTAGAGACTCTATATCTGTTGTCCTGTGCTAACATCCTAGCCCAGTCATCTGACCAGATTGTCGAGTTTTGCAACTGCTGCCAGTAGTGCAGTGGCTCCGAAGCCTGGCAAATCACCCACTGAGAATCGGTAGTAGCCAGGAGTGCGACTGCCACAGTGGCTCTTCACACATTGGGTTGGCAGCGATGAAGTTCATGTATAGGCCGCAGGTGAGTACTCGCTTACGAAATTTAGTCGGACCGGGGCTGTTCATGTTAACCTGATTGTTATCTGCGCGGTCCTATGCATGCTCACTAGTCGGTTCCCAGCTCAGTGCCTCGCCGCAGAGACCGCATCCTGTGTGGGGCGTTGCCCCAGCCTCCTCCAGCTGGAGGGGGTAGCACAGTGAGAAGAAGAAGAAGAGAGAGCGAGAGATCCCGCGCTAGTCGCTCTACACCTTCTACATGTCCGTGTCTCATTTGGGTATAGGATGCCTGCAGTTTTGGAGAACCCCCGCATGAAGCCTTCGAAGTTTCACTATATGTAGCGCAGGTATCACTGAAAGGAGGTAGAAAGATCATTTTCTCGGCATAAGCACGACGATGCAGGGACGCTCCTCCTAAATTCAGGCGGTACGGTAATCAGCAAGACCCTCTGGATGGCACAACAGAGAGAGAGAATCATGCTGTATGGGGTCCCAGAATCATGATCTCTCCAGTTGGTTTGTTTGCTGGATTCTGATTATTCGTCTTCATCACCTTGGCTTTGCATGGGAACCCATTAAACATATCTTGTGTTTCACGTTGTGAAACCTGGAATCGGACGCCATGGAGGCCTTAATGGCTGGTGGATCCTTCCGCCATTCCCTTACACCAAAGCCAAAGCCAAAAACTGGGGTTCTAGTGGGGCTTGTATTGGGGGTATATCTGGGAGATCGTGAGAGATCTTCCGCTCTAATTATCTGCTCTGTTGGTTGTGTTGGTTTCTGCAAGCACAGAATGGCTGGCAACGTTGGAGTGATAGAGGAGGCGGTGGAGATGTGTAGCCAGGCCGAGTTTGTGTTGGGCAGGTCAAAGACTGCCAGCAGTAGTCCCTATGCACTTCTCACAGCACGTTAGAGCAGGAAAATTCAAGTGACTGGAAGATTGGGGTCTCGATTTGGCTATTTCGGCATTGTATTGGATAGAACTTCAGGGCTCTGGGGTCCCGACTCGGACTGGATGTGGGGGCTCGGGAGCCTGAAGAAGACGATGCAGGAGAAGACGAAGAGGAAGACAAAAAGAGAAAATTCAAACCAGACTCTGGATTCTGGATCGCAGCGGGTGGCAAGGTTACCCCTTGTCATTGGTAGAGAAACTGGCTGAGCTGTTGTAAGCAGTTGGTACGAGGGTGTCGTCGAGTGCCAGGGAGGCAATCCATTTGATGCGCATGTGAACTGGGGATAGCATTCTTAGGTGGGGCGTTGTTCAATGATCTGGGAGAGTAATGTTTACAGCGCGCAGGACCTGGAGGAGGAGGAGGAGGGAGAGAGAGAGAGATCAATATTGCATTAGGCATACCTTCTTGCTACGGATACATTTGCCATGCAATGGTGGGAAGAACCTCGCTGACTTAATCAGCAAGGCAGGGCCACTGTTGGAGCCTCGTGTGTTGTATAGTATAGCTTGACCGCTGCCAGCAGGGCAGAGGGGAGGAACATGCAGGGGACAAGCGGGATGCGAAACGGGTGTCATCTCGTTTTCTCACTCGGGGGACCTGGTAGGCAAATTACCTTTGACCATAGAACCCAGCAAGGTGGCACACTGATTATCACATTTCAAGCAGCCCACGTCCGGCAAACACTTTATCACTGCGGTGCAGTAAGTCAGACTGGACAGGGTGGTGCCAATACAGCCCCGGCAAAATGGCAGCGCCCCAAAGCAGTGGTGGGTATTGTCACTTTCAATTCTGAGATCGGGAAGGGGTGGCCCAGTGACATTTCACTAACCACTTGTGAGGGGAGGAAAGTGATTTTGGCTCATCAATCTGCAATTTATAATTGGCTGGGGTATGGAGACGACAATGGCAAAATGGGGGGCGAGAATGACTTGCACTCCGGGATGACCAATGACTTGAACGCTTGAGGGGGTGCAACCCCGACGAGTGCCCTGCGGTACTCATGTGGCCTGTAGAAGAAGCGAGACAGTGAGAGAGGGGGTGTCTCCACTAGGCAAAGCCCAAAATGGGCATGGGGGAGGCCTGCCTCAATGCCCGCGCGAACGAAAGCGTGGTGCAGAGCATGTTTGCTGCTTGATCTGCTGGTGTTAGCGGCCCGAGCCAGACGCAGTGGCAATGGGAAATGCGCGTATAGCGCGACCTGGCCATCTCCGATCTGATCTGTGACATGGTAACTTGCAATGGATCAGCTAAAGACAAGTGATGAGTAAGTGCCAGAGCCGAGTTCTGCCAAGTCCCAAGCCAAGGCAGGGAAGGTCACTGAGATTGCTGGGCCAGCACCTTGCTGCAAGTCTTGAACGATTTGAGCGCGCAAGTCGGCGTTCCTGATTTTCTTTTTAAAGTAATGGATGGTGTGGACAGCCTTCTGTATTTTGTCCCAGGCTGCCTTCCAAGAATCAATTGCCAGCCAGGAGGCGATCCTGGTGCCTTGGTGACAGTTGGTGACATTGTGAAGCATCATTGGGACCTGTGATGCTATGCTGCTATGCTTCCTGCTAACTTAAATCAAGTAGCTTGCTGAGGTTTACTTCAGTTATGGTCCTAGAAGTGCTGAGACGCCTTCTTCACTGGGTCTGCTGCCAAAGTCTTTATCTTCTGCATGTCCGTGCTTATGGTGAATGTTGCCCTTGTGCACGTAGTTGGGGCATGCCAACATGACTGGAGGCGACGAGTTTGATCCTGAATTCGAGAAGTTCGGCACCTCAGATGATGTGGTGCCCCAGCGGCTTGTCTACGCCTTTGATGTATGCCATTTTTTCCGAAAGCGTTGCGAATGGTTTTTCAATGGACTGAGTTGTCGACGGTAAATTGTTGCGATCCTGTAAAAGCCCGATGCTTCAAATGATGTTGCATGTCCGCGATAAATGTAAAGCGGAAGGTCAACTCTTTGGTCTCGCCAAAGCGCAAGGTGGACCTGTCGTCCCGAGTATCAAACTTATGACGCAGTCGAGAGACCGCAGCCATTGGCCGCGGCATGTTGTTCATCGCGAAACAATTGTGTGTGGCACTACGACATGCCACGTGTCATAGCACGAAGAGAGAATCGTCGGTTCTGTGCAAGGACATGTTGAGAGTCTAAAGCTGCTGGTGATGACACCCCATAGTCTCAACAGCGCAAGCGCAAGCACATGCCGAGAGTGCGAGAGTGCAGCACTCTAAACTCTAGGGGATGGGGACGTGCCAGGCTCTCCATCGCAGGTGTCGTTGTTCTCAGGCGCTGGCATCGCTTCAAAAGTGCCAAAAGTCACAGGAGACGGGGTGTGATCGTCATGACCGAGATCCTCGTCGCATGTCAATGTGTATCACGCATGGCAGGGCCGCCATCCGCGTGACGATTTTCCTTTCTGGACCTTTCATGCTGCACTGTCTCAAAAGATTTCGAAGGCGTCAACAGTTACAACTTACAAGGATCCCCGGCGGTCGATCAGTGATTTCCTTGCAAACCCGTGTTGGGTTGACAGTCGCTTCGACTGCCACAAGAGGTGCCCTGCGGCGTGTGAGCAGCAGATGGGGAAGCAGCAGATGGCAAATGCCAATTACTTGGTCGCGTCTAGCTGATGAAATACAACGTGGATCCTGTCTTTCACTGTCTCATGGCCATGCAACTGGCAAATCACGAGACCCAAATTTGTCCCGGTCGTCGAGTTTGAACCTTTGTGTTTTCAATCTGTTCCAATTTCCAAGCCTGCAGATGATGATGTACGCGCGATAAGGCTGTAATGATGGTGCACCTGCGCAAGATCAATTTGCATTTTTCATGAACGCTTTCGGGACATTCAGTGTCTTGTTTAGTAATTTGTGGCACAAGCTCGCAAATTCTTCTGGGAATGAGGCTTTACCGAGTGATACACTCGGATGCCACGAAAGAGATTTTCACCGCTGCTGGAATAAGCGCTGCAGACGGAGGAGGCTTAGTCCTTTACAGAGACAAAGCGCAACTTGGGAACATCCCGCTGAGAGCGTTACAGGAAAGTGATGAACTGGGAAGCGAAGTTGCC